GCTAGCGTCAGTGGCATCCGCAAGCTCGCGCATGTGTGACGCGCCCCTTGTCGCAGGAGGTGTGGGTGGGTGGACCAGGCACTTCCTCCGGGCAGCCCCAGGGGCCAACCGCAAGGCGGCTCGTCAAGTACATGCCTTCTGGAGGCGTGGCGAGTGGGGATTGATCGCAGGTTTGGTGTCGGAGGCGGGGTGGGGATGCATAGCGGCGGCGGCGTGAGGGTACCCGCTGTCGCCAGGATCCTCGTCGTCATCGATGGCTAAGTGATAGACGGCGTCCACCCACGTGTGCAGGTCATCCCTGCTGAGGGTGCTCAGGAGTTCGAGGTCGCGTACACGCTTCCCCGAGAACTCCATCTTGGCATCTTCCCCCAGCCCAGGCCGCCTCGACACCCATTTCTGCGCCCCCGCAGCACCCCCACTCCCCCGCTTACGGACCTTGCCCTTTCCCTGATTCTTCCTGGACAAACTCAGGAACGAACAGGAAGCTACTGGATTCGACACTGTTATCACATCAACTATGGGCTCGGTCTTGGGGGTGAGTGCGCCCCAGCAGGCAGTGGTTCTCTGGGGCCTCCCCCCTTCCTTCTCCCAAGGCCCAGCTGGGGTGCCCAGAACAGGTTGCCGGGTGGTGGAAAACTGACTGGGGCTGAGCTTCACTTCGGATCCTCCCAGCTCTGCGCGTCTGCATCTGGGCATACCATGAGGTCCTCTAGCTTGAGAGTGGAGATGCTCGTTTTCCGCTTCCCAATAATGTCCTTGATGGTGATGCAGGTGACGGCAAAGATGTTGGCACCGAAGGTGAGCAGGGCGAAGATCAGCAGCATGCGGGCGTACTCGTTGTGGGTCTCGGTGTCGTTGAAGGAGATCCCCGTGGCCAGCAAGCAGATCAGCGCAATAAGGGAGGTGCATTCCAGCATATCTATGTCGTCCTCCTGCTCCGCAAAGCACTCCGCCCCACCTCGCCCCCACCTCGCCCTCCCCACGCTCTATGTGTGCCTGATACCACAGGGTTGATTCTAAGGACAGCAGCTATCACCGACGTCATCACGGAATGCGTCACTGCTGTTGTTGGCAGCGCCATTGCGGCAGACCGAAGGCCAGCAGAGGGCGTGCCTACAACCCTCAGCTCAGCCTGTCCTTACCCTCCAACAGCACGCGAGCGCACCCTGCCTTTTCCCTACCGAGCTAGACGCTGGAGCTGCTCCTGTCCAGCTTTCCTGAGGAGATACCCTGGTGTCGTCACGAACCGCATAGTATACGATGTCATCATCATCTCTTATTGATGATCATCTCATCATTACGATAATGATCATCATCTCATCATTACGACAATGATCATCATCTCATCATTACGATAATGATCATCATCTCATCATTACGACAATGATCATCATCTCATCATTACGATAATGATCATCATCTCATCATTACGATAATGATCATCATCTCATCATTACGATAATGATCATCATCTCATCATTACGATAATGATCATCATCTCATCATTACGATAATGATCATCATCTCATCTACGATAATGATCATCATCATCATTACGATAATTCATCTCATCATTACGATAATGATCATCATCTCATCATTACATAATGATCATCATCTCATCATTACGACAATGATCATCATCTCATCATTACGATAATGATCATCATCTCATCATTACGATAATGATCTTCATCTCATCATTACGATAATGATCGTCATCTCGATGATGATGATCATTGAGATGATATATAATCATTGTCTCCTACTGCACACGCGCTGTCAAGGACATCTGCGCCGACACCAAGGCATGCCGCCCCTTGGGAAGGCTCTCGTGGGCGAAGGGGACGAGGGCGCGCGGCGCACCAGGAAGGGCCGCGCGTAGTAGTGCAGAGCGATGAACAGCACGAGAATCACGATGGAGGTCGTCGCCTGCAGCAGTTGGTTCTGCTCTCGCGCGGCAGGAAGCACCCGCCGAATGGGGTCAGCGGCCAGGAAGTCAGGCGTCTCGGGCGCGAGCAGGGTGGGGAAGGCGGCCAGGAAGCCAGGCGTCTCAGGCGCGAGCAGGGTGGGAAGGCGAGGATGAGGAGCTCACCTCGACCATAGTGAGAATGATGCAGAAGGCGAGGCGGCGCATGAGGAGGCAGACCTCCCACCAGTACCACCCCTTCTCGTAGCGCCGGTAGAGCATTCCGAAGCGGGCTGCGTAATGTGGGTTCGCGAACAGGTCGTTCTCCTTGCCCTGCTTCTCGCTCCCTCACCAATCCCCCCCATCACATTCCGCGCAGTCCCCAAAGACGCCCTTATACACCCCTCTGTGTCACTGCACGAGGCCCCGTCGTCTCGGCCTACGGCGCAAAGGCCCTGATGATCTCCCGGTGCGTCGAGGTCTCGGAGGCCGGGCCTCAAGTCACGCCCGCGAGCCGTAGCTGCGAACTCCGCTGTGACCTAATGCGTAGGTGCAAAAATTCGGAGCACCATAGCTACTATAGCTCTCACCCGGGTGGCACTACCCGGCACTGCGGCGTCTGCTCTACGCCACATCTGCTGGGTCAGTCCTGCTCTACGCCACATCTGCAGGGTCAGTCCTGCTCTACGCCACATCTGCTGGGTCAGTCCTGCTCTACGCCTCGCATCTGCAGGGTCAGTCCTGCTCTACGCCACATCTGCAGGGTCAGTCCTGCTCTCACATCTGCACAGTCCTGCCTCTGCAGGGTCAGTCCTGCTCTACGCCACATCTGCAGGGTCACTCTGGCGCTACGTTGCATCTGCTGGATTAGTTCTGCTCTCCGTGTGGCGCTCTGCAGGGCGCCGGTGAGGGAGGGCGCGCCTGGTGCAGAATGACTCCGAAAAAACCGGGTACACCCACTGTGTAGAAGATGACAGCTGCGCGCAAAAGGGGCCGCCCTCTCTCCCCCACCCATTCAATTGGGCCCTTCAGGCTCCCGTGACACCCTCTCTACTGCACCCCTCAGGCCCTCGAGAGACCCTCTCTACTGCACCCCTCGGGCCCTCGAGAGACCCTTCAGCGATCCGTCCTCGCTTCTCAGCACAGGGCTGCACCGCTGGCGAGAGGCTTGCCACAGCTGCAGGCGATGGTAGCCGCATCGTCCTCTAAAGGCTGCACGAGGGACATCTCAGGCAGCAGAGGGTCCGCCCCAGCCGATCCCCCTCGGGGCCCCTTCTGGTGAAGAACTGAAGTTACGAACTCGGGTAACCCTGCTGTGCTTGTGCAGCCATCTGCCTGGTGGGTGGTGGCCCGCCCAGTGATAACTGGCCCCTGGCTGCCCTTCCCATCGCAGGCTGAGCAGAGATCCCACCGAAGATGGCCATGACCATGAACATGACGTGGTCTGACTCGTAGCAGGTGATATCCGGGGAGACGTTCAGGAAGTAGTTCCCATCGGGAAGCTCGGTGCAGAAGAAAACCTGCCATTGGGCCCCCGCGCACCTCTCCCACCAATCAGAGCAGCCATCCAGACCTCTCCCACCAATCAGAGCAGCCATCCAGACGCCTCCCACCAATCAGAGCAGCCATCCAGACGCCTCCTACCAATGCCGCGACAGCGCTGGAGCGGCGCGAAATGCCTCCGCCTCGGAGGGAGCCACGATCGGCAGGCTGGGCCGTTAGAAGGGGGGTTGCGGAGGCGGGCTGTGGGCCGCTGGCAGCCAACCATGGGGGCTGGGTCGCAGGAGGAAGGGGGAATCCGGAGGCAAGCCGATTGCCGCTGATTGCCAACCACTGGGACAGGGTCGCGAGGGGAGGGGGGGGGAAGTGAAGGCACTGCGGTACCGAGAGTGCATTGATCGTGAGGGTGTGATAGCTGATGATCAGGAAGGTGAGGGACTCGCAGATCGCGCGGTCCAGCACCCACTTGAGCTCTTCGTGGTCCTTGGCGCTGATCTTCCGAAGGTAGTCGAGGGGCAGGCGGGTCCACCTCCATAGCCGATGCATCAAGCCCGGGTTGTGTGGTGTTTCCGCTTCCCCCTGTTCACCGCAACCCCCCAAGGGCCATCACGAGTGCTGCGCGCATCACAGGTGGGCTGGGAGAGAACTTCCGTGTTGCCGACCGCGGTATCTGTGATTGATAATCAGAGCTGAATGCCCCCCAGCCAATGAGCCTTGCCGTGCAGGCCTCAACGGCCACGTCGTCACGTGTGGATTTCGCCTGAGGCTTGATCTCAGGAAGGCCCTCGTTGAGACTTCGTCAAGATCTCGTCGAGAGTCAAATTGGCAAGCGCCGCCGGGTGGGGAGACGGACATTCCAAATTCCCGAGCTGCAGAGCTCAGCGGCTTCGACGGAAGAATGGGCACGGCAGGCGGCACCGCAGCACGCTTAAGCTCGCCCGTGGCAGCGACCGCTCGCACCTTTGCATGCGTGCGGTTTGACCGCACGAGCAGCCAGTTGATGCCGTAGAACGCGAAGTTCATGCCCGCAATGAAAGGAGGGAGAATGTTCTGCAGCAAGAAGGTGTGATAGTACGACCAGGCCTGCCGCAGACCCCAGTGCCCCCCGAGACCCCGCTGCTGACGACCCCAGACAAGCTGCTGGAGAAATCTCGTCCGCCGAGCTCAAGCGGTGGGCAGATGCAGCCTGAAGCTGGGCTAAGACAAACATACATCTGCGTTGAAATGAACTGCTGCTAAGGGGCCTCTGCTTGGAGGGAACGTCCGGCCAATCAGAAGGTGCAGGGGCGCACTGCAAGCCAATCAACCGGTTGCAGGAGGACGTGCGCACCGTGTAGGTCTCGGTGTTCAGGCAATCTGGGCGGAAGACGTCCACGTCGAAGTTCACCAAGGTTAGGATGAGAAATATATGATCCAGCCTGCTTCCAGCCTCTCCTCCCTCTCCATGCATCGGCTCGGGGCACGTCGCTCCCCTTTCCTCGTGGTGCATCCGGCCACTATTGTGGCAAGATGAAGAGGAAGACCGAAGACTGCAGAGATCCGCGAGGGTCGTATAAATGAGAAAAACTGAGCGGATTAACTGAGTGTACATGAAACGAATGGTGCAGTGATAGCACAGCAATCCGGTAATTTGTAGACGAAGGGTTCAAATCCCTCTCGGTTCTCTTCCCTCTTGTAGAGGAAGGGTTTGATTCACCTTACCAAAAAAAACAATAAAAAAAACCGACACCTAAATCTGAAAATGTGTGACACCAATTGAAATTGAGACATATTTGTTCGTGCTTCCGGTCGAGGGGCATTGTGTGGCCTCGCACTCGGTGCAATAGATGTGGGGACTCTCCAGGGCAAGCAGCTGGGACTGCCCGTGCCCGATCGTGGGGGTGCGCTCGTGTGCGTCCAGCTAAGCGTCGACACAACGGGGGGAGCGAGGGGGTCACCCAGAGGGCCATCCCAGCTGGAACTGGCTGCAAATAGAGGCGATTTGCAAGAAGAGGAGGGTGATGTCGATGGAGTCGTATTCTCCGGCGCAGTACTTGTTCAAGATGATCCAGCTCGCGGCGACCGCGACGATGCCGGCTGTCACAAATACAATGTTGCTCAAGGTGAACCCGCTGGTTGGGCACTTGAAGCACTGGCCGCCAAAGTTGAAGTGCTCCTGTACCCACGCCAAACTGTACCTTAGGCATGCAAACGGCGGCGAGTAGGCTGCGAGGAGCGAGGGAAGTGGGTTGTCTGCACGAGGGTGGCCACATCGGCCTGAACAGCGGGGCGCTCGGGGAAGTGCTGGCGGGTGGTCGCATGCAGGGCTGCTATCGAAGTCTAAGGGTTTAAGGTCGCATGCAGCGCTGCTATTGCTCCTATGGAGGTTTATTAAGGGTTTAAGGTCGCATGCAGTGTGTGGGGGAGGGGCTCGGGGTAGGGAAGACGAGGTGGGCGAGCGCACAAGTGAGCAGGCGTCACACATCGCCCCGTCGAACATCGTCCCACACAAATTCTCCACCTCGCTGCGACACTCCTGGTACGTGAGGTTGGTCCCGGCGCATCGACCTTCCCCGTTGCACCGATCCTGGGTTCTCGTCGGGCACTGGTGATAGACGAGGTATTGGATGCGGGATGCGCCGGCCTCGTCCAGCGTGTCCTCCGGTGGAACCGTGTCCCAGTCGCCCCAGTACCCGTCCAGCGCGAAGGGCAGCGCCGTCCCGCCTGAGAGCGGACCCTCCCAAGTAAGCAGCGTGCCCGAGGAGGCAGGGGCGGCAACCATTTGGGAGGGTGGGTATGACTACAAAGCATCCGAAATAAGCATCTGCATGCCCTGGGGCGCCCTGCCTCAGCGCTGCACTACCTCGAGGCCGCACTCCACGTGAGATTCCATGCGAGTGGCTGGGGGAGCGGCGCGCACTACCTGTGCAGTTGCCCCCGTCAGGGCACTCGAAACAGGGCATGCCGAGCTGGCCGTCTGAACGGTAAAAGCCCTCCACGCACGTGCAGTTTTGCAGCTCCGTGCTGCCGCTCCCCAGGCCCTCGGTTCCTGCCAACGCCGCTTCCCCTCTCCTCCAGCTTGGCATCGCCAACTTACATCCGCAGGCCGCTCGGCGTCATGCTCACGGTGTCATCCCAACCGGCGAGAGCGTGGCAGATGCAGGGGGCGGGGCGCCCGCATCTTGCTTCCGCCATGCGAGCGCGCCCAAATCGGTTGCTGCATTCCGGCCAAGCTGCTGCGCTAGGACCCGGGTCAATGGAGCGGATAGCCATATTCGATGTCAGCTAGGCCTGAAACATGCGAGGTCAACCTGAGGTGATTGGCGGCGCATACGGGGCGGCTGGGCGAGGGTGACTCGCTGCACCGGCCGCACCTGCAGGGCACTCCAAGCACTCGGTGGAGCCGTAGTCTGGCTGGTACTCCAGGGACGGGCACTTGAGGCATACATCCAGCCCATAGGCGGGGCCGTAGGACCCGGGGTGGCACTCCGTGCAGGCGTGCTGCACATCATGGCCATCGGTGTAGGTCCCAGGGGGGCACAGGTCGCACCTGGGCCGAGCCACCCCAGGATTGCTTAGGCCTCCGAGGGGAACCGCGCCCGTGCTTGCTCCCCCGGCCGGGGTGCGCACCCCCTCGGCACAAGATGCCTACCTCGGAGGGCGCCCGGTAGCCTGGAGGGTGCTGCGTAAGGGGCACTGCCGATGTCCTCCGACATTGGGGGAACTGCACACCGTGGCTGCTCCGGTGCCAGTGAATATGCGGCGTAGCGTTACGCCAGCAGGCTCCAAGAGCGCGTGCTGGGATATGGCCTCGGGGGATCAGATCAGCTGCAGCAATATGAAGTCGCTGGGCCGCCGGGGCCGACCTCGGGTGACCTGCGCCAAGGGCGCAGGGAGTGCAGTAGCAACCTGGAGGGAGCTGCATCGTTATTGGCGGTAGGGAAGTGATGGGATGAATTGAGCACGTAGTGCAGAGCAGGGTAGGGCGCCAAGCAGGGAGTTGCTGGGAGGGGGCAGTCGGGGCGAGGCGGATACCCGACAACATCGACATTGAAATAAGTCCCGGCTGTGCATAACGTCCCATCCTCAGGGGGAATCGTGCTGTTGCTGGAGTAAGTGATTGTAGCACCTTCCACATCGATCCAGTCGCTCTCGGGGGAGGCCATTTTCACCTGCTCGTGCAGTCACACCCCGCACCACCTGCCTGCTGTCTCCGGCGACGGAACGGGGCTGGCGGTCCGTCAGGCACTCGAGCGCGCACCCCGGTCCAACAGCATTTCCTCAGGTGCAGTCTTTTCTATAGAGCTCGTCCACCAACAAAGCAACGGCGAAGCGGTCACCAAGGACAAAAGGCAAGCCGGTGATTCGCCAATTGCTGAGCCAGGTCCAGGTTGAGGGCACCGGCGGGATTGGTGCACAGACTGATTGAGGCGTACCAAGACCGGTTCCCCGCTCTGGTAGTTCTCCAGAATGAACAAACCCGTGGCGGGCTCCCTGTTGCCTTCCTTGGTGAAGGACACGTTCAGCATGCCAGAGAAGCTGGTGCTGAGTATAGACGAGAACAGCGACTTTTGCATTTGGCTCTCCTCCGCATCCTTCTCCTTTATGGTCATGGACAGATAGTGCTCATCCGAGTGGTTCCCCTGCTCACCGCAGCTCCCACATACCAATCCCGCATCTGACGGTGGGGTCAGGCCGGTGCTTAACGCTGCGGTGTCTCCTCATCAGCTCGACTCTGAGGGCATTGCACAGTGGTCTACCCTCCTGCTGGCATCCACGCGCTCCAGGGCTCGGAGCATCACCTGAAACGTACTGTGCAGGGCGAAGGCAGCAGTCCAGACCGCATCGTAGACATATCCGGAGGACGATGTTCCGCCCAAGCCCTACATGCCATCCCGCACGCCACACCACGCCACCCCTCCCCACCATCCCCGTCTATAGCCCCGATCTGAAACGCACCGTGTGCAGAGACGGCATGGCTCATGCGGACCCCTTCGCGGAGAAGGTGGGCGGCTCCTGTCAGGCATACGGCAGGGGCATCCTATTTGTGAGGAGGCGGGGTGCGGAGGGGATGGGACCATGGCATACCTGGAACCAGATCCCGAAGGGGGAACAACAACGGGGGGGAGGGGAGGTATGGAGCACCCGATCGGAAGGTGTTGTGATCTGCCCGAGGAGGGGGGCAAGCGGAGGAGCAAGGGTCGCCACAGCCAGGTAGCCAAGGCCCCGGGAGGTACGGAGCATGGGAGGATGCGGTAGGAAGCGGAGGTGTGGAAAAGAGGGCCCCGCAGTGACCCCCGATGGGGAGCGCACCTCGGCGAAGAACTCGGGGGTGAACAAGTCGGGGCGAGCTTGCATTTCTGGTGGAAGTATGCTGATGCTGGCACCCTTGAAGGCGATGTCAAGCAAGGAGAGCTTGTCAGGGATGCCCCCTATTTGCTTGATGGTCAGAAGGCCCTGCAAGGGGCACAGGGCGCGCAGGGCGTCAACTTGCCACACCAGCCATGCCCCTGGCCGCAGATTCCACAAGCCACCATTGCAGCATCGCGCACCTACTTCTGAAGGGGGGGGGGGGATACGGAGTGAGCATGTGCTGACAGCATGCCCCCCAAGCAGCTCACTTCACGGGAACAGCAAGCTTTGCCAGCAGAGACGAAGGGAAACTGAAAGGAAACCACAGGCAGCCACCGAAGCGCTTCCCACCGGAGCCAAGAGGTGACGCAGAGTCTGGATGTCATCACCCCCTACCTCGCCTTGCCAGTAACGCGCAACGCAGACTCAAGTCCACAACCAGGTGGTGCCCGCCAGCTAGGCAGGTGCACTGGAGCAGCCATGACCCGTCTGCACCAAGCCCCCCTCTCAAACGAGGTTTGAGACCTAGAAATCAACTTTCTTGGCCCTCCAGAGACCCTTCCACAACCACGCCCCGAAGCGCTGCGTCCCGTGCATATAGCACCCTACCAAGGCGGCCAATCAAGCGCCGGAATGAGCGCTGCCCTCAAAAGAGGCAGGGCCCGCAGTCAGGCACCACAGAAACAGCATCCCTACACCCGCTCCCGAAGCGCCCAGCCCCGTCCACGCCTCCAGCTCCCACACAAATGGCTCCCGCACGGTGAGCTATTTTCTCCTCGAGAGTCCCCGAAGGCGGCCCACCATCTGATAGCCATCCGCGCGGCGGGGAACGACGGTAAGAAGGCGGATGTCAGACTAGTTGTCATCGCCAAATCCGCAATCATCCGCACACACTGAGCGGCATGAGGCCCGCCGACAAAAGCCAGCCCACCATCATCCCAGTGGATGCGAGAAGCGTTCAGCGCAGCTCGGGCGCAGCAGCCGCACCTCAAGCAGCCGCGCCAGCTCCGCCCCATTCGCAGGATCCTGCGAGAGCCCCACCGCACCCGGGCGAAGCAGCAACCAGGCACCCCAGAAATCGGAGTCAGCACCGCAGAAAGAATTGTAGCTTATGAAAATCCCGCATTACTGTGGTGGGAGATGAGCAGTATATGTGTAACATATGTACATACGAAATATGTTACGATGGAGGCGCGCGGCGCACACGTGTGCCCCAATTTCAGTACAGGCGCGCCAGGCGCGCTTATACTAGTGCATCTCTGTGTCGGCACACCTGTACTGGCGCCCCCCTGGGAGGAAACCCGCGCCTATCAGTGTAAGTGCGCCGATTCTA